AGTCTAGTTTTATTAAAAGTGGACATGTGGTCACCTAAGGGGGGGGGTTAACTCACTGGAAAGATCTGGAAGAGGTACACCTTAGAGAAATGGCACTTCCTGGATCCTTGGTAAGATGGAAGTGGCACAGGCACATTTTTCAGGTACTGAGAGAACAGAACTATGAAGAAAATGGCCCTGGAATGAGACAAAAAAGAAAGAAACTAGGCAAAAGAACAACTGCCTTGTTAGCTTTATCACATTTGGAGGACCCGACTGTCAGAAATTCTGAACATCTTCAGCCCCATCTGATTTCAAAGCACTTCCGACAATAAGACCCGAAGTGTATGTCTTCCCTGGAGCTGGAAAGAGTAAATCCCAGTTCAAGGAGACACAGAACCAACTGAGCTAGTGCACTAAAAATGAACGTGTAGCGCTACAGTGGTGTGAGTAGTGGGAGGGGCTAGCTGTCTGAATACATGCGTAGGGTCTAAGACAGAATTGTATGGGAGGTGGCCGGCCTCTCCCACCACTGTAACCCTGGCTACACTTCTTGTTTTGGCATGGGAATTGTATGGGAGGTGGCCGGCCTCTCCCACTACCGTAACCCTGGCTACACTTCTTTTTTTGGCATGTGTAGGGCACCTTGAGACGTAATTTGCACCTTCCAGGCCTAGTGTAGATATACTACTAGTGTCATGGAATACCTGTTACTACCAAAATTGAGGTTAAAACAAGCCTCCCATTATAGTTTAAATATAGTTTTGTTGAGGGATTTTTAAATTAGATTTTTTTTTGCCTCAAAACCCAGCCAAACTAGTCATCCTTATCTCTCAGAGAGAGAGAGAGAGAGAGAGAGAAAATGCATTTGATTTTTGAAATGCCACATCAATAATAAAAAAATTGCCATTTTTGTGTGATATCTTCAATGTACACATCCTCTAACAGGCTCACAATATAGCACACACACACAGACAAACTACATGGAAAGAGCATTATTAAGGTTGTAACATCAAACAGTCAGAAGTCAGGAAATGCTAAAATTAAGGTTACTTTAACTCAGCTCCCTTGTTCATATACATTATGAGAGTCTCTAATTATATGATCCTTGTGCATGTGTTGAAATACCAAAGATACTTAGCACAATAGCTTTTAACTTCAAAAAACAGGAGCTACACAAAAATGAGGAAGCTATTTAAAAAGAACTTGGAAAGAGCAGTCATGAATGAAATGGCTGCAAGCTGCATGAAAACTAATTAAACCCACTGTAATAGAGACTCATGCTAAATCAAATAAAAAATTAGTAAGAGCACTATGAAGTGCCATGTCTAAACAGAGTAAAAAAGGCATTTAAAGATTAAAAGACATTATTTAGAATGGGAAGTGAAATCCTAGTGAGGAAAACAGAAAGGTGCAAAAACTGTGGCGAGTCTAATAAAAAGTATAATGAGGCAAAAAAATAAGTTGAAGAGCAACTAGCAAAAGACAAAAACTAACAACAAAAACTTTTAAGTACATTAGAAGCAGGAAGCCTGCCAAATAATCAATGGGGTTACTGGACAATAGAGTTGTTAAATGAGCATGCAAACAAAACAAAACTGTTGTAAAGAAGCTATATGAATTCTTTGCATCAGTCTTCATTGCAGAGGATGTGAAGAAAAGTCTCATCCTTAAGCCATTCCTTTTAGGTGACAAATCTGAGGACCTGTCTCAGACTGAGGTGTCAAAATAGGAGGTTTTAGACTAAAATTGATAAATGAAATAGCAATAAGTCACCAGGACTGGATTACATTCATCCAAAAGTTCTGATGGAACTCAAATACAGAACTCCTAGCTGTGGTGTGTAAATACATTGTTTAAATCAGTCACTGTAACTGGAGGGTAGCCAAGGACATGCTGATTTAAAAAAAAATAGAGTTCCAGAGGCAGCCCTGGCAATTATAGCCTGGTAAGTAACTTCCGTACTAGGCAAACTAGTTGAAACTATAGTAAAGAACAGAATTATCAGACACATGGATGAACATAATTTGTTGGGGAAGTCTCAGCACAATCTTTGTAAAGGGAAATCATGCCTCATTAGTCTACTAGAATTCTGTGAAGGTGTCAATAAGTATGTGTGTGGATAATGGTGATCCCATGGAAACAGTGTACTTGAACTTTTCAGAAAATGACAAGTTCCCAAACCAAAGGGGCAAAAGCAAAGTAGGAAATCATGGGATAAGAAGGAAGATCCTTTTTTGATCAGTAACTAGTTAAAAACAGGAAATAAAGGGTAGGAATAAATGGTTAGTTTTCACAGTGGGGAAAGGTAAATTGTGGGGTCCTCCAGGGTTCTGTATAGAACCAGTATTGTTTCACATATTCATAAATGATCTGGAAAAGGTAGTCAACAGGGAGGTTGCAGATTATTAAAAACTGCAGAATCAAGTTCGCAGATGATTCAAAACTGCTCAAGATAGTTAAGTTCAAAGCTGAGTACAAAGAGTTACAAAGGGATTTCAGAAAATTGGGTGACTGGGTTACAAATTGGCAGATGAAATTCAATATTAAATGCAAAGAAATGCACACTGGAAAGCACAACGCTTAATGTACATCAGCAGCCAAAAAAGTTAACAGAGTGTTAGGAAACATTAGGAAAGGGTTAGATAATAAGACCAAACATATCATAATGCTACTGTATTATATATATACTCACTTATATATATTATATTCGAATTGGAAAAAGGAGAGAGAAGGGCAATAGGAATGGTGAGTAACAGCTTTTATATAAGGCAAGATTAGAAAGGCAGAAGCTTCTCATCCTAAAAAAGAGAGAACTAAAGGGGGGAACGTGGTAGAGATCTATTAAAATTATGAATGGTCTTAAGAAAGTGAATATGGAAGTGTTATTTATTCCTTCATATAACACAAAAACCATGGTTCAACTTTTGAAATTAATCATCAGAAGGAAGTACGAGTTGAACCTCTCTAGTCTGGCACCATCCTTGGTCTGGCAAGATTTTAGTTAGCCAGATGTCCACTTATCATGGGTGTGGCCAAGTTTTTCGTGGTCCCACAAAGTGGCTACGTCTAGACTGGCATGATTTTCCAGAAAAGGGACTTTTGCCCGAACGGAAGCAGAATAGTATTTCCGCAAAAAGCACTGATTTCTTACAGTAGGAAGTCAGTGCTTTTGCGGAAATTCAAGCGGCCAGTGTAGACAGCTGGCAAGTTTTTCCAGAAAAGCAGCTGATTTTCCGGAAAACTGGCCAGTCTAGACACAGCCAGTATGTTTACAGCCGCCAGTCCTGGCTCTCAGTGTTCTGGGCTGTTATTTAGCTCTAATTTACCCCTGAATGTCTTCTCAGAGCCCAGTGAGCAGTGAAAGTGTTGGTAATGCTGCTAGACAATATTGATCTCCCGTGGTTTGTCAAATTCTCTGCTTCAGCACCGTTCAGGATTAGAGAGGTTCAACTTGTAGTTCACACAACGCGGTCAGGCTGTGGAACTCATTGCCAGGGATGTTGTGAAGGCCAAAAGTACAGCTGGGTTAAAAAAAGAATTAGATAAGTTCCTGGAGGACAGGTCCAACCATGGCTATTAGCTAAGATGGATGCAACCTCAATGTCTGCTCTCATTAAACCTCTGACTAACAAAAGCTGGGAGTGGATGTAGGCTCACTCTATAATTGCCCTGTTCTGTTCATTCCCTCTGAAGCCTCTGACACCAGTAACTGTGGTAAGACAATATATTGGGCTAGATGGACCATTGATCTAACTTGGTATGCATGCTCTTATGATCATATAATATTTTTCCCCACATGACCTTGCCTCATTCATTGTATAGGATGAAGTTCATTTAACCAGCAGCTCTTCAATTTTTTGCCATCTTCTCATTGGTCAAAAGTGTAACTCTAGTCTTTCTTTTCTGAACGTTATTCAAGCCCGAATGCAGAAAGACATTTCCGTGGTGCTCATCGCTATAATACCTAAGTGTTTCACAGATACAAATGGGTTTATTTTCACCACACTCCAGGTGGGATGAAGAATTGTTATCCCCATTGAATGGCCAGAGAAATAAGGCCCAGAGAGATCAAATTAAAAAAAAATTACTAAGTCTGGGCTCCCAATTTGAGATACCTTGGATCTGATTTTTCAAAGCATTTGGCATTCTATAGCACAGCAGCCAGAGACTTCAGTTGGGGTGGGATTTGTGTTACCATTTGGGTCTTGTGCAACACACAGAACCCTGTCCGCACTGAACTAACAGGGCATTTAGAATCCAGAGGTCATTTTCCCCACCAACTTGTAATACTTGATCTAAGTTACGAGATTTTGAGTATTTATCCCATTAATCTGCCCAGGGCCAAAGTTGCGATGGTAAAGTGTTACTTACATGGCTGATATGCCCCAGTGTGAGCCAGCCTCATCTCCTGCAGAGTTGAAGAGAGGAAGTGCAACCAAGGTTATGGTGGGAGCAATAGTCAAAGGACCGATGAATCGCATCATAAGTCCAATCAGGCCAGAGAATCCAACAAAGATTTGGAAACAAGAAGCAATCATCA